TTTAGTTTCTTCAAGATCTGTCAAAGGAAAACTAAATCTCTACGATATCGGTAAGATAAAGAACGAACTTGTTCAGAAAGAATAAGAGGGAAAAATTATTGTGTTTTTGAACTTATATATACTTGTATAATTGTGCTGAACTGAAAATTTCATGCAACAAACAAGTGATGTAGAAGCCACTCAAATGATCACTAATACTACTTCGAATATTTAATTGTATTAAATTTGCCCACGAATATTTGTTTGTAGAAATGAAAGTGGCCAAAGCTTGTAACGGATTTGTTTTTGCAAATAGTTATTACACGGGAACGAATTTTTTCTTATCAACTCTTGCCAAAAATGCTAGTTGCATAATTCAATTTATTTGTATGCGAGTTAGTGTAGGGATTCCAGAGATGAAAATGTGCGTAAATGTTACGTCACACCGGTTTTTGGCAAAGGCACGTCCTTGAAATAATTAACTATAAATATGAAACGCGTTATCACAATAAAAAATTCAGAAATTTCAATTTCAACTTTAAGATTAAACTTCTAAACTCAATTTAATTTTCGGTTTGGTGCTAAAGTTCTCTAGAGAATGGTTGCGAATTTTGGGAGATTAGCGTGAATTACGCGATAAATGTTTTGCATGCGAAAATTATGCTAAGACTAAGTAGGTATATTTTGTAATGATCTATATAATTATTGAAATACATCTTCAATTACGGGAAATATTATTCCTTAATTTATGCACGCTAACATTCATCATGAATGTCAAACACTCGAATTTTTAAGACTTAACCAGGAGATATTATGTTATCAATGTTAGAAGACGTTTAGGAGAACTATTAGAAGACGAGCTAAAGGCAATGATATTAAGTTTCGTTTGGTCACCCTCGGCACTAATACGATTATCAGCCTGCCGGCAAATGTTCAGCTAATCGCATTTTCACCCGATAGGATATTAAAATAAGTCGTGAAGTTATAAAATTTGCTTTCAAATTTCGAATAATTAGGCAAAATTTTAGTATCTTTAGAAAAAAATAAAACATGTTGCATCTTTTAGCCCTTTAGTGGCGCGTGTGTTACTAATGTAATCCAGTCTTATTCATTCACTGTTTACAGCAAGAGTTGTTAAGGACGGAAGTTTGGAAGGTGTTTTGGACTTTTCAGTAGGTACCTTTCGTAGAAGGCCTCGGCTATTGAATTATAGCGAAATCTGTCTCGAGTGATATCTGCGTACTAGCGGAAACAGCTTGCATTACAATAGCAATCCGCATGACCACACGCGGTTCAGTTTCTGACCTAAGCTCACATCATCAATATCGCTGCAATCAATGCTCTTGAATGTTTATGCAAAGACAACGTTGGAGAAACGTTGACTAGAAAGTGTTTTCTAAAGAAATAGCGCTTTGTTCCTTATGAAAGCAGAAATGAAAAGCAGGATCGAGAGAAAACTGTGCCCACAGCAATAAGAACTCGCGGGAGAGTTCTTCGGAGAATCTGAGAAGGTTTCGAGGCGTCAGAGGAGTAGCTAAATGGCCATGTAGGACGTGGCTCTCTCGTGCATTGGACACATTAAGAAAACATGAACTACTGAAGAGTTAAAACAAAACAAACGAATTTTAATTATTTTTCAAAAGATTGTTTGGGGGGGAGTAATTACTACTGAAGACAAACAATGATTTCCTCCTTGACAAATACATTTAGTCAATAATTTCCGAAATGCAAAGATTGTATTAAAACATTACAAGAAAAATTGCTAATATTCTCTAGGTAGAACCGAAATGACGGTAAGATCTGCCTAATTTATTTATATTTTGAAGAACTACAATGCTGTTTGGGTTGTCATTAAATACATTTAGTCTACATTGCCCAGTTTCATTAAAATTATTAATAGGTCGGTTATTGGCATATAAAAATGCCATTGGTCTAATTTTTGTCCCTACTTTTTCGAAAATTGAAGCTGTTTGATATTGTATCAGCGACTTCCTACAGCTACAATGCTGAAGATAGATTGTTTTCTTAATGAAATCTATTGTTCAAAGTTTGTTCTTGAAATATGATGTTAAATTTTTCGAAAATTAGGGAAGTTTAAATGTTATTTTGCGTGAAGTATAGGTAATTTTTAAACAATCATTATCCCCAAAACAGCTAAACAGCTCTAATTTTTTTTCTTAAACTGTTGGTGCTGGCCATATTTTCGCGCTACTACTATTATGAAAAAACCTATTAGTTTTCGCCTAATTTATTCTTGAAGTTGATGTAACTTACAACATGCTAAAAATGACTCGAAATTTTACGAGCAGATGCTTAAAAATGGCGCAGGGTTAATTTTCATTGAACACTAAATTTTCGAAAAAGGCGAAAGTTAGAAATAATGCGGGAAAGTACGAGCTGTTGTAGTAGCACTATAGTTTACTCCGGTTATTATGAACTTCTGAGGGCTAACATTTTTGGTTCACTATATAAGAGGTTCACTATATCCGATTATGTCAAAATTAAATAGAAAGATAAACATGAAATTTCATCGTTGGATAGATTAAACTGTTAGTCGTGAGTAAAAGGAACAATTACCTAACAGCATGACGTCTGTTCTCGATTAAGGACGTAGAGTTCAGTGGCTAGAGTCAGTGAATACTTATGTATGATTATTCGAAAGATGTCTAAACACAAACAACTGGCTCTGAATATGGTCACAATATGAGAAGCGTAACATTAATGTCATTACCACGATCATGGCGTCTCTAGAAATCAGGAATTTCTCTACCGCCTTTTTTCAATAATTTCTAAAAAACTTTCATGCGCACAGGTAATAACGGCAAATTCCATTAGACCCCACATTTTCAGTTACAAGTAAATCGTTTAATTCCTAGCATATCCCTATCATGTTCTGAAATATTAAATCAATCGGGATATAGCACAACCCTTAAATTCCACCTTCAAAAATTGCCCGTAGTTAAAAAGTAAACGTGAACGAAAACAGAAAAATTCGTTTCTCTTGAGACGATCTTTGGTTGAGATCGGGCGTTATTTTTCTGACTGCCACAAGTATTTCTAGACAGCTTGAACCAAAGGAACAATCTTAATAGCTTGGTTTCAATCTTTACCGTGTTTCTTTCGCCGTGCGCCGGGTTGGGTAGATGTACCTGAAGGAGCTCACCCGCTCGGTGCCCGGCCGCGCGCCGCGTATTGCCCTCCCTCGCACGCGGGCGCGACGGCAGCAGTCGCCAGCAACGCCCGACTGCAGCGCCCGAGCGCCCCCGCGCCCCAAGTGCTGCGGCCAGCGCCCCGCCTGCCGCGCTGCCTGGGACTTCCTCTGGCTGTTCATGGAGACCTCCTCCATCCACGGCTTCAGCCACCTCACAGCGCGCAGGCGCACCTCCGGCGAGTAGTGAGTGCCACTTCTTCCTCCATCCACGGCTTCAGCCACCTCACGGCGCGCAGGCGCACATCAGGCGAATAGTGAGTTCTACTTCTTCTTCCACCCACGGCTTCAGTCACCTCACGGCGCGCCTTAGGCGAGTAGTGAGTTCCACTTCTTCCTCTATTCACGACTTCAGTCACCTCACGGCGCGCAGGCGCACCTCCGGCGAGTAGTGAGTGCCACTTCTTCCTCCGTTCACGGCCTCAGTACCCTCACGGCGCACCTCAGGCGAGTAGTGAGTTCCACTTCTTCCTTCTTTCACGGCGTCAGCCTCCTCACAGCGCGCATGTGCACTTCAGGCGATTAGTGAGTTTTAATTTTTCCTCTATTCACGGCTTCAGCCACCGCTCGGCGCGATGGCGCACACCCGGCGAATAGTGAGTTCCACTTCTTCCTCCATCCACGGCTTCAGCCATCACACGTCGCACCTCAGGCGAGAAGTGGATTCCACTTCTTTCTCCATCCACGGCTTCAGCCATCGCACGTCGCACCTCCGGCGAGTAGTGAGTTCCACTTCTTCCTCCGTTCACGGCTTCAGCCACCTCACGGCACACCTCAGGCGAGTAGTGAGTTCCACTTTTTCCTCCGTTCACGGCTTCAGCTACCTCACGGCGCGCAGGTGCACTTCAGGCGATTAGCGAGTTTTAATTTTTCCTCTATTCACGGCTTCAGCCACCTCTCGGCGCCAAGGCGCACACCCGGCGAATAGTGAGTTCCACATCTGCGTCCATTCACGGCTTGAGCCTCCTCACAGCGAAAAAGTGCACTTCAGGCGAGTAGTGAATTCTATAATCTTTTCTATCCACAGCTTTACTCCCTTTATCGCCACGGCTGCAGCCATTCGCAGGCACAACTATTGCAAATAGTGAGTTCATCTGTATATCTTCCTCCATCCACGGCTTCGAGCATCTGACGACGAGGCGCTTCTCCTGCGAGTAGTGATTTCTGCTAATGCCTTCACCCATGGCTTTAGACCATAACCCGCGCTCCTCTTTTGAATTCTGAGTTGTGTAGCACGCCAGGGAAGCCTCTTCGCAACAGACTGCCGCTGTCAGCGGCGCCGATGGGCGCGGCTCTGGTGATACTAGTGTTTCCCGCTCCTTCATCGTTCCTTCTGAACCCCTATCGGATGGTCTTAGCGCTGCCTGGTTCCCGTGATACCAACGTAATTAATGTTGCCAGTACCCGCACCATCATGATGACACTACGAAGAGACTTCCCTGGCGCACTGAATTTCTTCGTGTATCCACGTGTTAAGACACTGCAGAGCGCGAAACATCACCACAGACGAGAGAGTATGTGGTGTTTTTAGGAGCACTAGTTAATTCTTTATTGCTCACGGATATGTTCTATTTGAAAAATCTTTTTGGCAGCATATACTAAAAACAAGTAATAATATGCGAATAACACACGTTTCGATCTTCCTTTTGCTCAAAATTTACGTATAATCTCAGAGACGCAGGGAATTGTTATAATTTCGGAAAATTATAGTTTCATTATAGGTGACGGCGTCCGAAGCTGATCATAGATTTATCTCAAGAATCTCGTTGTTCCTAGTGACATTCAGTGCTATTCTCTGTCTCTCCACAGCATCATGTGGATTACAGTGATGATTCTGGGCCTTGTGGGCGCCATTTCCATCGGCATGTCCACTTGGAATCGATACCAAGACAACCCTACCGTGATTTCAATGGAAAGAGATTCTCGCCTGTTTAACACGTCTTTCCCAGCAGCAACTATCTGTCCCACGATGAAATATGACGACACCAAATTCAAGGAACTGTAAGCTAATTTTAGTACCTACTTCCTGAAAGTTTTTTATGTACATGTAGATTTTATTTGTAAAATACAGCATGGTAAACTTGTTTGTGCTTGGCATTTGGGAGTCTCATGGTTACATTGCTAGCTGTATTATAGAAATTACTAATAGTGTCAGTAGTTTATTTGATCAAATCTACGTTGTTGCCAGGAAACAAAGAAAAGAGATACTGGGGGCATTCACGTAGATATACCGAGCTTCAAGAGAAGGATTGTATGCGTTATTGTTTCCCAGTCAGAACTAGATGGAAGAAACCTCATCTCGTCACTGCACTCGCATCTCTCGAATATGCGGTTTAGTTTCTGAGAATTCCCACAAACCCAAAATATGTCGGTAATTGAATTTTACATGCATAGACCAAAAACGGAGACGTTCATAATCTGCAGACTTGCATCAATCAACTGGGCATGGGCGTTGATTTTGAAGGGCGGGTGCTTACAATGAATGCGGGACAAATGTGAGAAGGCGTGACGTTTTCCAGCCGAGGCTCTATTGTCAATCATGAACAAGTGAAGCGTTTCTAACAAGAACCAAACTAGTCGAAATTCTAAATTTTCCAGGATGTATAAAACGAGGCTTCATAGCATAGACGTGCATAGACATGGATTTATAATTTTCACATCTTTGAATGTACTTGGCACTTGCCAAAAGGTAATGACCCAGCATTTGGCGTCTGTTGTAGGTAATAACTTGTAAATACCATATCTCAAAATATGGAATTATGGACTTGTTTGGTTCTAGTAAGAAACCCTTTGAGTTCGTGTGCAATTTAGTTATCTAAGAACAAATAATAATAAACAATAATAATAAAAATAACAATAAAAATAAAAAAAACAAATTTTATTAATTTTCATTTAAGTACTACACATATAAATAATATACTTCTTCGTTCTGCTGCCAAATATTGTATTAACACTGACTTTTCTCCTAAGTTAAACGGAATCCCAAAGCCGTTGACTGCTGTCTTGAACAATAAGGCATATTTTAATACTTTCTCTTTTAGAAAAAAGTTATGTACGTATGTATGTACGTACGTACGTATGTACAGCGAGTGTTTGGTGTGCGGATGAAATTTTGACGGTCGCGTTAATGACGGAAGCCGAGTGCGGCAGTTTGAATTGAGTACGCCCATGACTTGTACGATTGGCTCATTTTGTTTTGGTTGATGGAAACAATAAAAACAAATTGAGTTTATGAAGGGGTTAGAGTTCATACTTCATTTTGCAGACGGATTCTTTTGAAACATTAATTTATTTCATCGTGCAACGGTTTCGAACATTGTTGTCCCAATCATCAGGCTATAAAATTGAATGTTGATATTATATAGTACAAAATTTAAAATTATTCATCATACAATCAGAAATTATGGCAGGTAAGAACTTACCAGCCACACGAGAGCTCACAAAACAGATGGATTGTACATTAGCATTATTAAACAATCAACCCCCGACACACAATAGACAAAATTAAAATCATTACGTTGGTGAGAGCGGTTGAAAAAATGAGTTCTGAGAGTCAGGGGAAGTTAAGATAAGGAAAGAGGGAGGGGAAAGGTTTTGAAAGCGGCAGAAAGAAGAGGGAACTATTTTTTCAATGTTCGACATCTATACAGCAAGGCACCACAAACTTTTATAAAAATAATTATTCTCAACGGCAGTATTAATAAAATTATATATTTTAATTTGTGAAGTTTCAGAAAATATTCGTGGATATCTCCGGGGCTCAATATCAAAAACACTCGGAGTTTGAAAATTTAAAGAGTGGTCGAATTTTATCCGATGATTGGATACAGATTGATTGGATACATTTTGTCTTAGAGGGATCTCTCTGATGTTCCTGCCATGTTCTATCATTATAGTTAGAACTTTAACCCTTCACAAACTCATAATTAATTAAAAGACAGACTAAAAGGTGGAAATAAAAAACTTACAAATGTGTAATCGAGATCATTCTCAATATGTGAGGCGGCAGCCATATTGATACACGTTCCCCCAGTGCTTTGTTTACTACGCTTATTGTTTTATATGGTCACTACTTCTTTATTGTACACGTGCAGGAAAGTCTATTTTGCAGTACCTGTGATGCAAAATAGTACTTTCCAAACAGTAAACAGATGGGGCGTGCGCAAAAAGGGAAGAAGGGGGGCGTGCCCCTTGGAGATGTCGATAGAGGTCTCATAGTCTTAGATAATAAACACATTTTCCGTAAATACGATAACTTCCATTTTTTCCCTTCATTACAATTTAGAGAAATAAAACACGAAATTTTAGGAAGACGCTCTGCAAAGAAATTGGCTTCCAAATGGTTCAACATTATACCAATTGTATTTTAAATGTAATTAATTTTTTCGTTCTCCTTGTATTGTATATTATTTATTTTCTAAATTATTTGTAAATACAAAATAGAAAAGGGATAGATGGAGGATAGATGTGCCCAGAAATGTAGGTACCCCCTCTTGTTTTTGGCTGCGCGCACCGATGATACATTAACGACTAGTACGGGCATTGAAGGCAAGGAAAGTTCACAAAAGGCAAGTCGTAAATAAGTTGCCATGCAGAAGAGCAGGAAATATTTCTTTGAGATACGTTTCTAAAAAAAAGTTCTTCTATTAAATTCTAGTAAATGAGCCTTTAAAGACTGGTAAACAGGAGAGCCTGAATGGCTACGTAGGCGCTCTTGTGCGTTTCTTAGAGCCTTGCAATGATTGGGTGATTTCAGGCGCGCCAACTGCTACGAATATTGATTACGTAAATGTAGTGTATGTTTTTTTATCGCGGGAGGTAATGATGATCCTCCCACGGTGGAGGGCGATATCTGGCCTCAATCTGCCCGCGACCGCTTGCGACGTTTTCCTTAAAACAGGTATCTCCGACCAGGGGGCATCGACCCAGCCCGGACATGCTCTAATCTCCCGACCGGTCTTCCGGAATGAATGGTAGTGTAGTGCATGTTAGGGTAAGTGCGTGTAAGGGGTGAGGATAGAACAAAGAAGAGGAAGGAAAGATCGCGCGTAGTCCGTGACCTGCTTGTTAGAGTACTGCTCCGACATTCTCCTGGTGTTGATCGGAGAAACCACGTAAAACTACCGATCAGAGCAGCCGGCCCCTAGATTTTTCCTCAAGACGACTGAATTCGACCTAGCTTACAAGCTAGTGTCGAAAAACTTGCCACTGTCGGGACTCGAACCTAGGGCCTCCCAGTTAGAGGCATTACAGTGACACCAGAACCACCTCTCCCTATGTGTAACATAAGGCACGAGCCTGTTAGTAAATGATAGAACGTTCCATTTGAAGAATCGGACAAGCTAGTGTATGAAAAATAAATAAAAATTAAATTAAGTTAAAAATTACATTATAATAATGTTATCTTCTGTTATGTAATCGTTTATTTCACATAAAAATATTTGTTTCACTATTAATCTTTCTTTCAGGCTACAGCGTTCTAATGGAAACAAAGAAGAGGTTCAAGAGTTTCTCGAAGTACTTTTCAATAGTTCGTATGAGAATTTCGTAGATTTTCGCAATTATTCTAAATCATCGATGGAATTTTTTCTTCGAACTTTCCCACCCAAGAACTACCTGGATTTAATATTTGATGTAAGTTAACTAGTGAAATATTCCCAATATTTTATTATTAAAGAAAGATGAAATAATGTTCATCATAAAAGATAAAGATAATGCCTCGTGATTTATTTAAATCGAGAGATGAACTATCTGAACAAATACGCATGTTAGGGAAAATGCTAGGAACGAAAGAAAATGTTCAATGAGGAAAATGTTTAGTCTGTTCTAGTGAATGGCCGGATGCGTAGCTATAATCGGCAAAGAACTCTATTTTTACTGAGTTAAATTTGAGTAAGCCTGTAAGTCTGCCATGTGCAGATAGAATAACGTTGGCGATAGCGGTGTGGTAACCCTGCTTTGACAGAAAGAAATGAGGGGGGGACCTTGTGTATTAGCGATAATGAGGACACTGTTGGTAGAAGAAGATGGTTGGGGTTGAGAGAACCGCTCTTGTCACTAGACGTAAAAAACTAGTGCTAACTAGGAGTATGCAGATAATTAAAAAGCAGAGCAACTTTCGTGCCCATTCGTGAATGTACCACCTTTAAGGTGTAATGCATTCTGAGGTGTGTAATGCATTCTGATGCGACTCAAAAACCATCCGTAGTTGAAAGCACAGTTTCAATTAAACATATTGAAAACCCGCATGTGTAAGTTCCCATTGAATCGAGTAGTACCTAAAAGCAACTAGACTGTGTTTCAAAATCTATACTTCAAATTTGTTCTTTTATTAATAACTGTGTACACGTAGTGGTGTACCTCCACAAATGGTCATAATTTGTTATAATATTACTTATCTTCATTTTCATAATATTATTATAACGTTCTATGATTACGTTTTTTAGTTCATTCCATTTTTGTAGTTCTTTACCCACCACTCTACGTGTTTTGGTGCATCTAGGAACTTTTGTAATCGGAGGTGTGATTCACGGTATGTACGATGAGGCGCTAGTGGGCGGACTCCGCTCTTATCACTGAGGTCACTGTGCATTTTTCGGTACAATCCGGGAGTGAGCGCCTGGGCCGGGAGTTTTTTTTTGAGAGGGGGGGCGAACTAGCAGAATGCGCAGGCTTATCGCTCCTGCAACGACCGCCGGAGTCCGGTACAGACACGGAGTCGGCGACAAATATGCCTCTAATTTCCGAGTGCTTCAAACTTTTCAAACGCAGGAGGGCATCAGGGGTGGAAAATGTCTACGTGTTGCGAAATGCACGTACGCAAGTTTGCGTCGAAACCTTATACACGTGCAAATGCAAAAATTGTGTAACGCCTAGCGTTCCGAATTTTAAAATATTTAAAGTTTAAAATAGTTTTTGTTTATTGGATTGTCCTTAGTTATTATAAATAATGGTTTCAATTTGGTGCAAATAAGTTCGGACAGCCTATATTAGTCAAAAGCTCCGGCCCGCTGGAGCAAAAGCTCCGGCTCAGGATTAGTTTGCTTTTCTCTTGCTAGGTTTGGAAACTCTTTAAGGAACAGAATGTTTAACTAGTATGTATAAATCACCTTTTATATGATTCTCAGAAGCTTAAAAATAGTTTTCTTTTTATAATTTCAGAATCAAAAATGTTTATTCTTACCAGGAACGACTCCATAAGAAGAGTCAATTGGGTTATGTCTCATGGAATGGACTTAAATTACATTGATATAAAGTATCCAGAAACATCACCTATTTATTAATAAAAGCTTGAGACTTTTGTAACTTGTAAAAGTTGTAGAGTTGTTAATTAGATTCTGGTCGTCTATAAAACTTCTGAATTTAAAAGCTTATAGTTTGTATAAATAGTAATATAAAACCTAATAATCAATTTTCATTATTAAAAAAGTATTTTCTAAAATTTATAAAGCCTTTTCACTTTTTAATTTTTCCTGGAGTGGCCCTTGATTCCTATTGAAAGCATTGTTTCAATTTGATATGGATAATTGAATCATAAGTAATTGTTTAATATTCGATGGTGTATGAGGTGCAATCAAAATCACTTTAAATACGCATGTTAGAGAAAATGTTAGAAACGAAAAAATGTTCAATGGGGAAAACGTTTTGAGTTTAAATGTTTTAGTTCAAGTGAATAAGATACATCAATACTTTAAATACGCATGTTAGGGAAAATGTTAGAAACGAAAAAAATGTTCAATGGGGAAAACGTTTAGTCTATTCTAGTGAATCCATCAATGAAAGTGTGGTCATCAAAACGAGATTTATTTTTTTAATCTTTCCAGAACCGCTTCAACTTTTCGTATGCGGCTGTGAACAGCGCTGAAGGAAGTTTACCTGAAGTGTGGATTCACATGAGTGAAATGGGCATTTGCTACACTTACAACTCTGAAGTGGCCATGTACAACGATCCTGAGTATGTGCACCTTAGTAGATATGGCAACTTAATTTAATTTTCTTTCTCAAATACCGGTATTTTTCTTTCTTCCATAAGTGTATAGATATCGAAATGTTATTTCGATTAGGTAAAACATGTCGTAAAAATGTACCATAAGGTTTGTAACTTCATTTATCATAAGGTCAGGTATGTAATAAAATTCATTTGAAGGTCAAAACATTATAATGAAATTTGTGAAAATTAATTAATCAGTGCTCAATAAGTATCCTTACGCACTTGGTTTTAGCTTGGAAACGTTTCGATCAATCTGAATGAGTGAAGCATTCGAGTATTTTATAGGAAGAGCACCAAGGTCCATACGCGAGACTGCTCGCACTCAATTTCCTGGTGTCTAATTGCCAATGCATTGAACTTGTCAGTCCTTCTCCGCGGTCTCAAATAATTCAAGGCTTTTGTTGAACGTGCTAAGATTTAATAACCCAATATCAATTATCATATTTGGTTAATATTTATTTACTTCGTAAAAGAGTTTAGTTGATATTAGCAAAAACACTGGATGTTTGACACCTTGTCCCGAGTCTGGCTATATTCATCTTCTTGTAGTTTCAATGCGGAGATTGAAGTGTTAGCGATATTATGAATATGAAAGTGAGTAAATATACGCATATTTCATTGCTAAATAAATTGTTATACTTTTCCCCCGTATGAAGCAGCCTAGAGGTAAAACTGATATATTGAAATATCAATACTTATTATTCAATACGTGGGACAGTAAATAGAGCTGGTGTTACAGTATATTAGAATGTCAATGTTTTGAAAATACGTCTCTCTAGTTTAGTTCTGATTATTCTTCTTCCAAAAATATCCATTTCTGTTCTGGTACATTTATGTAAGAGACGTTATAGTTGACATAACCTAAAATATATAACCGTGAGGGATAATCTTTCGGTTTATGAACGACCTTTCATCTATCTGACCTCGGCAGTTTTACACTTATCCTTTAGAAATCGTGGTTAAATGACGAATTCACATGACAATGCAGAATGCAATTAGTTTTGTTTACTTTTTATTAAAGCAAAATAGAAATTATGAAGATCCCTATGTTGTCAGAGCTACTAGACAATATCTTCATCTAACGAAATTTCGATAGTAACGATACCAAGACGGAGATCCGTGGCAACTCGGCTGAGGTTGCACTGTCTACCTGGCTTACTTCTTTATTTATTTACGTCAAAAGCAGTTAAAACTGCGTACGACGTATTATGAGCAGCCGTTCATTTGAAGTTACATTTATGCCCATTTATACCCCCCAAAACAAAGGAGCATCTCAGGATTTGCTCAGAGAAACTGGGCGAAACCCTGATCAAGATGAGGGTCATTGACCCAGAAGCTATGATAATGTTCAAAAGCTAAGACAATGTTAAAACGCAGTGCTGTAATATTACCGCATTAGAATATCTCAGGCCTAACATTATCTTTGTTGATGTTACGTGAAATAGTGATATCTTATACTGGAACCGTGTCTGACATCTATATTTCATTTCAGCTATTGGTCAGGCGAAAAATCTCCGCGCGAACCCTTCCTAATACTCAGTGGAAACGAAATGGATGGCGATTTATTTTCTCAAATGATGGATATGAACTCTCCATCAATAGTAAGTCAACTTCAATGCGTGCTGAATATGCCAGCAATGCGATGTTAAATGTAACAAAACATTTTTTATACCACTATCGCATATATAGTTTTTTTTCTGAGGTATAAATGACCCGCCCAAATCACCTTAATGAATCAGGTGGTAAAAGAAGGAAAACGTCGCTGAGAAGAGACGAACTGCACTTGCACTAAGTACGAATATAAAAAAAATTGTTGCAAAACGCGTCTACATTTGTCAAATGCAAATGCAATTCCTCAACACACAGCCTTATTAACGGTCTGTGACTAGACTTCGATCAACATAATTCAAAACGATGCGTTCTAACTTGCTGTTCCTCACGCCCTAATCTACAAAAGTTATTTATGATATGAGGGGGAAAGTAATATTTTATTACTTATAATCACTTATATTCTTATTATACTTATATACTTACTATACTTATCACTTTTACCACATGTGATATACACTATTCTTATACAGCCTTGAGAGTTTTATTTTAATTCGAGTATCATTAAAAACACGTCATGATATATTAAGGTCAGTAGTGTCTGATGCGGTCAAATGAAAGTATGTTTCCTTGTTCCATTCACAGATTTATCTGAACACTTGAGCATTCTCTCACTTTCAGCACAAGTGCAAAAGAGTGGACATTTTACACGCTACGCATGCACTGTAAAAACAGTTTCTACTAGAAGCTGTTTAAACATCTTTTGAGGCATCTTTTCAAACTTATTACATTTCTGGGAATTCGTCTCCTTAGGATTCCCCATTGCATAGTAAAGGCCCATGCACAATGCAAACTAAACATAAGCATGGCGTTAACATAAACGTTAGAACTACGTCCACAAGTTGACTCATTCACAATGCGTTCGCATAAGCATAACACGTAAGACGTTAATTTAAAGTTTGAAAGCTTCACGCTTCTGTGTTTATATTTAAGTAAGTCGAAGTCGATAAACGAACTAACGTCATATGGCTTCAGTTGATACCTCGAAATTGATTGGCACTTCCAACCAATAGCAAACTAGAATGTCTTACAACCAAAAGAAACGGGGGAAGATCACCGCCACTTCACTAGAAAATAACATACACTACACTTACGATACAACCGACCTCGGTTGTTGACGTGTCCGGAATCACTAACAACCAACCCAACCAATCGAAGGGGTGTACGCTAGTCCCTAAAATCGTTGCCACCAAACTGTGTTAACGCCTCGCTCTCGTATTGTAAAGACTATCGAGCCTACTCTGACGTATGTACAGATAACTTCCGTTGCCGTGTAACACATGATGCAATTAGAGTTAAATTCTCTCTCGCACACGTTGTTTACAGTTAAAAAACAGCAGTGCGTTAGTAAATCCAAACGAGAGAAATGGCGTTTTAGCGATTACGATTGCAGGATTAGAAAATAATACACCCCTATCTAGCTCTAAAATCAAGTTCAACGTGTACAGTGTGAGGTTATGAAAGAATACTACATTCATGATGTTTGAGCTGCTAGAATTTATTTATTAAGATTTTTTCCTGGTGGATAGGCTGCCTTGTACCAGGCGTGCATGTACCCTGCATTTACCGCAAACTCAGAAACATTATCTCGGTGGCAGGTGACTGTAAATTTTATGAGGAGGATCGGTATTAAGCTGCACCCGATTTTATCACCTAGGATTGTTAGTCCTAGAGGTGTGGAAGATGAAATGATAATAGTGAGGGGGGAGAGGACGGCATACAAACACAAATACACCCATGCCCGAGGCGGGACTCATACACGCAATATTTTAGCCGAGACCGCTATGGCACTACTGCCCGAGCTATCTCGGCCATTTGTCGTCTATTTAGATTATTTACTTATTAAATTTTTTTATTTATTACTTCTTACTACTACTTATCACTACATTAAATTACACACACACACACACACACACACACACACACATATATATATATAACAAATCTTTCACATTTTTAAAGTCAAAATGCAATTAGTCTCGACTACTTGAAATTCTCTTTTTTATGAAATACCATTAAAAAATAATGTTTGCTTTTGAGAACCTCAAAAGGTACTTAAGTATTTACGCTACTGAAATAATATAGGACGTGACGTAATAAAATGAAATAATATGGCAATTAACATGGCTGTTATTGCCGTCATCATGACAGTAACAGGGCAGTGATGGTGGGGGAGGGCGAGCGCAGGTGTACATCCACGGGCCGGAGGAGATCCCGGACTGCGCGTCGCGCAGCCTGGTGCTGCCCGACCTCACGTACAAGACGCTGGACGAGAGCGCGCTGGCGCTGTACACGACGGCGGAGGCGCGCGGGCTGTCGGTGCGCCAGCGCCGCTGCCGCCTGCGCCACGAGTCCGACCTCGAGCTGGGCCCCGTCTACTCCTACAACCTGTGCCGCATGGAGTGCCGCCTCAAGCAGTCGCTGCGCCTCTGCAGCTGCGTGCCCTTCTTCTATCGCAACCGCGGTGAGCCCCCACCGGAAGCCCGCTCTCCGGACCCCCCGATCTCCGGACCCCCCGATCTCCGGACCCCCCGATCTCCGGAGAGCCCCGCCGATGCTCGCGACCCCCGCTCTCCGGACCCCGCGCTCTCCGGACCCCCCGCTCTCCGGAACCCCCCGCTCTCCGACCCCCCGCTCTCTGGACCGTCCCGGAACCCCGCTCCCCGGACCCCCCGCTCTCCGGACCCCCGCTCTCCGGACCCCCACTCTCCGGACCCCCCGCTCCGCTCTCCGGACCCCCCGCTCCGCTCTCCGGACCCCCCGCTCCGCTCTCCGGTACGTTTTCAAGCCTTGTTACTGTGTTGAGAAAAAGCGAATATATATTATCTGTGAGTGCGAATGTCTATTTTAAATATTCCCTCATAAATAAGATTAACATTTGAAGTTATGTTGTATCAATTTCAGCGCATCAATTTTTTTTATATTTTATTATAATTTCGAAAGAATGAAATTTGTTGAATAGTTTTGTGCACAAGGTATTTCAATGCATGTGTTGGACTAAAACATTCATCCGCTGCTTATAATTTAAACATGAATAATATTTTTTTGACATATTTTATCTTCTGTTTGTTCATTTCTGACATTTATTTATACCTAGATGTTCGAAATATAATTCATTTTGTATTATTTTCTTTCTAGGAAAATATCCGATATGTGACCTGGATGGGATGAAGTGCTTGGCAGCTCATAACCGTAGGTCACTGAAATAAGTACTATTTGAGATTTTTTATACACACGAAGTTCTAAATGTCGTCTTTACTCAGATTCGTTAGTCAGATTGACCGACACATTGTTTGGAGGAAAAGTGGATTGTAAATGTCTCCCCACATGCGATGCAATTAACTTTGTCATAGAAATGCAAAGTGATATGCCCTGGTAAGTAATTTACTTGAATATCAAAACATATTAAATATACTGAATAGGTATTTATGTCGCTTACCCTTAGCATATCTAAAACTTTCTTATATAACTTCTGTACTACTGCATTTTTATCTATGCGTAATTCTAACTAATTACATTCTACCTCCTTGAAGTCAGTATAATTCTGTAACTTGTGACGGGAGAAGTATGAGCTCAGAATATTTGTAGAATTCCCATTCAACAGGTTTCTCGGGACTAATTTGAAATGGAGCGTTTCACGATATCCCCAGATGAGGCTGAAGAGAGACGTGCTTTTTGGATTCACTGACGTCCTGGGTAATTATCTTTGTCTAAATCACTACTTACCAATCAGTACGTGTCGGAGTTGCTAGTTATTCATTACTCTGGTTGAGCGAACAAGTCGGTGAAATAATCGCAATGAGAACTTCCAAACGCAATACATAACAATAGAAATTGCGGGTGCGTTGAATTTATGAACAACAGAACGGCAATGGTCCTCGATATTGCTTTCAAGGCGGATGTATTTGCTGCTGTGTTGGGTGCATTTGAAGATGTTTGCCGCTACATTACCTTACAACCACCTCAATGGTTTTCACGCATGAAATACTGTGGGCTACGCGCCATTCGTTGACAATTTGATACATATAGGTAAACTCCACAGGCTGTCTGTGACGTCCAATAGAAAAGCATTCGACCTATCCTAGTTTCATAGTGTTTGGATTGTGATGGCACGGAGCCTTAGTACAGCATAAAACGTCTGTATCGCCTCGTCATTGAGTATTCTCATGTCGGTAATGTGAAAAACTATCAAAAGAAACTATGTGGAAAAACCGACACTTCGGGAGTATTTTGTGTTTTTGGGTGCGTCAAATTCGAAGGTCATCAGTTCGATGAGAGTTGTGCAAGTTTCCCTCTTTGGACCATGATATTCAGTGCTGACGTACATGAAGGCATGATTATATCCCAACGTATATCGATTGAGAAAGGATTCGAAAAAACCGATTCGAATATTTTCTTACAATTTCTTCATAATATTTATACTTTGCATAAAGCTTTTTCGGTCGCATTATGGTTATTTTCGGTGTAATTTTATAACCTATTGCGGATCCTGTCAAAAAAGGCTAATATTTCCATTTCTAACATTTTCATTCAAATATAATACCTGGATTTTCTTCATTCGTTTCTTGTCATTTGGGTAACAAGAAACATAGTAGATTTATGTAGCATAATGTTAACACATATAGTATTACCCACTAATTAATTATTTGTCTTTTTGTTTACAGTCTCCATAGGTGGGACCGCAGGTTTGTTCTTAGGGTGTAGCATCCTTAGTTTCATCGAAATCATTTATTTCTTTACTCTGCGACTTTTCTGGTATATTGTTGAACTGAAACGGGGTAAGTCCTAACATGTGTATGTGCATTATGAAACACAGAACGTTTAATGTTGTATCAATGATTGCTTGCTTGTAAGCAAAGATTTTTCTAATTTGTTCACGTAATTTACAGTTCAAAATAAATGATAATTTAATTGCAGTGATTATTGCATTTCTTCTCTATACGTGAACCAGGAAAGTTTGAAAATTATTGTTCATTTAGTAATGTTTTGATAATGTTAATAATGTTTTGCCTACACTCGGAACGGATTAATTTGGGTGAATATTCACTTCACCAATAATTAATTATATATTACATAAAATAGTATTGTGATAACGATAACAATGTTCTCGATGCACAAGTGATAAAAAATATAAAAATACTTTTTGTCTCCTTCTGTTCTGCTAAGAAGACTGGTTTGATAGATTCTCAACCCATTACGAATTATTGAGGCACTTCATTCCATGTAGTTTACACATGCTGTAAAATAAAAGAATTTTTAAAAAAAATTAATGCTTTTACCAATGATTTCTGAAAAACGAATCATATGTTGCATAGAAAAAAGAACATATTCTAACCGTTTCTGTGAATATATTCTGCTTACAAGGGGAGGTGTGAACAAAATATATTTTATAACTATTTTACAATGACAGAGGTTTCCTAGCAGATTTCTTTTCAGTCTGGTTAACTTAAATATTCTTCGCTTCATATTTCATTACCATAGATGAATGTTTCACAATATCATGATAGTCTGACGCATATAATAAGAGACCAGACACATTTCAGAAATAGAACGAATAAAAAGTGGATCCCATCAAGGTAATGTCTGCAAAATACACTTTTTGAGTTAAGAAGTTCTTCAATTTCCTCGCCCCCTTTATTTACGAATCAGTGGATATTTTCAGAACTGACCTACTCAAGGGGGAAGTTTTTGATGAACCTTCTTTTCCTTTCTTCTCGCCAAATGTTAGTTGTTTTTTTTTACTTTGTTTTCGTACTATCCCTTGAAATAGTGGCTCGTATTTCTTCCATCCATTCGATATCTCTTCTGTGTTATTTTCAATCTTCCGTATCTTTTCTCGTTTCTTCAATTCATTTTGTGATAGACGTTATTTTAGTGATGTTATACTATTTGTACTGTACTTAAGTATTTTTAAGTAGTATTTTTCTAGTAAAGTAGGATTGAAGTTAAGCCTTTTTTTGCATGTAGTGCTTGCAATCATTTTCGACTGTATAAACTTAAGTTGAGAGAGGTTGAACTAAACCGAAAAGCTACACCACACTGAAGATATTCAGAAATTAATTGATACAAGAGTCTGTGTTATTATGTATCCCCCTACTTATTTTTTCAAATCTTCTCTGAAATAAACGTTTTAAGAGCCGCCTGGATAGCCGAGATCGCTAACGCTAAAGAACCGTAGCTGCCTCTTGCGTGAAGGGGCGCGGGTTCGAAACTCGCCCGGGCTATGGATGTTTGTGTGTGTGTCCGTATACCATTACCGTTACCCCCAGTGTTACTAGCAGTGGTCTCTGTATGACCGTAGTAGTTGAAAAGCCACATTAAATAAATCAAAATGAATAACAAAGTTTTTACGAAGAGGGTTTCTTCCGCTTTACGTTCCAATTTTGAGAATTGTCACTTGTTTACAATTTGAGAGCGTTGTTTCGTATGTAAACAAGCAATTAACTTGCCGTGACGCGCTCTTCTAATAAGGCGCTCTTGGGAAAACGAAAACACCACTTGACAAACGTTTCATGAGATCTCTTCGATTTGATGAAAAATTAATGTATGAGTCGCGTGTGCACTCGTCCAGGCCGGATGAGCATGCCTTATTTCAAAACCTTTGCCCTGGGGAGTGCAATTTAGAGCACTCCTCCTCGTGTATCAGTCGAATTGCAAAAATTAGGTTTTTCGTATTAACCGGAATCCAAGCACAGTTGAATATACTGAATAAGACGTTCTACATAATTGGAATAGAGAATATGAAACAATCCACTGAAATTGAAACGATACATTGAAATAATCTTCTTGTTCATATTGCTTTCTTTTAACAACTCTAAATTACAAAATATCGCCCAAACAGGTAAGTAGATTTGACAAATATTATAAACGTGTTACCTGAAACATTTGTTACAACTTTCAGGAGCGTACTTAAATAGAAAAGCTATGGTTCGATTCACCACTAGACATCGAATGAAATCACTTTTGTGATTAATATGTATCTCAAAATTTATATCTAATTAACATTTTAATATTCTTTCAGTTCTGCTACACAAGAAAACGTTTGAAGCTCATGCTTAGCAGTGAATCATTCATTTCCAGAAATGTGATATTTCCGGTTTGATTTCATACTCATAGCTCAATTGCGCGTAAACACACAAAGAGCGGATGAACACGCATAGTTCCCATGACCTCTGCTCGGAAGATGACTCTTCTGAGATTCCAGTACTGTGCCGGTCTGGAAGCGTAACAGAAAATTCGTTGCATGACGTTTGATGGTATTAAATGAAGACGTTGCATTGAATTGTCTTGCATTGAGGCAGAAGATAAACGAATCTCATGTGACTCATTGAATCAGTCACAAATTATTAACAACAATATTGTATCCACGAACTAACTTGGTAAGCTGCGTAGAAGCCAAGTGTATGTGATGTAGGGAATCTTTTGAGGAAAAATATTATAGTAACAGAGAACACTCTTATTTAATATTTCTTGAAACTTTTTCGAAACATTGGGGTATTTATTTTCTTTAATAAGATTGAAAAAACCTTAACATAATTTATTAATAAAATTATTTTCACTGAGAGTGTAAATTTTATTAATTTACATTCGTATTTACGGAGCGAGATACTGATTGCAGAATTAGTATGACATTTCGGGAGAAGCTTTCGAAAACAAGCTCTGATTAGTTCTTAAAAAGATATTTCACTTACGAGCAACAGCATGAGGAACCACAAGAAGCATATTAGTTAAAGAACTTTCATCAGATATCTGTAATAGAAAACATTGCAGACGCCAACAAAGCAGGCAATTAATTGCAAAGCTCCGGCAGAGTGCGAGACGGACACAGTAAGTTAACCAAGTACTTAGTAGGTAAGTAATTTGATATAAAAAAATATTACACAGGAGTCACGAAATATTGACAAAAATATTGTATCCACGATCTGATTTCGTAAGCTGCGTAGAAGCCAAGTGTATATGAGTGACGCAGGGCATCTTTTGGAGAGAGCTTCTCAAAAAATATTGAACTAACTGAGAACACCTGGAGATTAATTTTTTTGAGCAGGCTTTTGGGTACAAACCATGAAGGCAGCAGCATCATCGTCAATAGCTGTCGCTACGAGCCCCCTGCTGTATTTACGCGAGATGGTGCGGGTGACGCGCGGCGGCGGCGCTGTGCGGGAGCCGTCGGGGCGGGGCGGGGGCGGGGGCGGGGCCGGGGGCGGGCCGGCGGGGCGCGGGCTGGTGCAGCGCCGCGGCGGGTGAGGTCCGCGCGCGCGCGCGCCAGCGCCGCCGCATCGCCCCCCGTCGCCCGCGGGCGCTCGCGCGGCGTGGTGCGCCAGCGGCCGCGCGTTCGCCGCCTGGAGCTTCTGCTGGCTCTTCATGGAGACCTCCACCATCCACGGCTTCAACCACATCACCACGCGCCAGCGCACCGCCCTCGAGTAGTAAGTGCACACGAAAGTACTACGCCGGCGCGTTTGCTGTCGGGAGGGGTGGCTCAGGGTATCAGCTGATGCCTCTGATCGGAATGTCCTAGAATTCCACTCATGACAATGACAGGGTTTTTGATACTAGCTTCTCGGAGAGGCCGAATTCAGTCGCTGCCTGGAGGAGAATTCTTCCGGCCGGCTGCCCTGATCGGTAGTTTTCTGTGGTTTCTACTATCAATTCAAGGCGAATGCCGGATTAATATCCCAATAAACGGGCCACGCGATTTTTCCTTCCCCTTCCTCGGCCTATTCTACCCCTTACGTACACACGCGTACACCTGCAGGCGCGACACTATCACATACCGAGAGACAAACTGTCAGGAGCTCAGAGATTGGCCTGTTTGGAAGGAGCTCCGCTGGTGGGAGATGGTTGGGGGGGGAAAACCCCGACAGTAAGTCGGCGCCGTATCTCACCATCCAGCGGAAAATGACCACCTCCCGCGATAAAAATGCACTACACTTACTACACTAATGACCTTAGCAGCTGACGCGTCCGTATTTTCTAATCTACCAACCAGCCACAAAGGGACGCGATCTAAAATCTCGCCTTGCCATGGAAGCTTTGATACCATGGCACCAGAATACCACTTTTATTCTTCTGGTCTTTCCCACTTACCATTCATTAAATTTACAACTTCAACACATTCTTCCTGGCCTTTTTTTTACTTTCCAACATTCTCTGTTGCATCTTTTCTGCTACATCTACAACTGATACTAATACGTAATGTTTTATTCTTTTCTTCTACTTTGTAGCGTGTTTTGGATCGTGGTGATGGTGCTGGCGGTGGTGGGCGCCGTGGCCATCGCCATGACCACGTGGAGGCGCTTCCAGGAGAACCCCACGGTGCTGGCGATGGACCGTGACTCGCACAGCTTCAGCACGCCCGCTGCCTCGGCCACCTTCTGCCCCACTATGAAGGTGGAAGAAGACCACTGGGAAAGAATGTGAGACCCTGCACTACTATGTGTGTTGAAGGCGATAGCACTCCAAACCCGCGGTGGTGGTGTAACAGTTAGCGTATCGTACTGTTGTACCCAAAGTTGGCGGGTTCAAACTCGATCGAAGACGTGGATTTTTAAGGGCGAAAAATTCCTTCGTACGCCTTCCTTCGGAGGGGAAGTAAAGCCGGCTGTCCCATGTTCGTATATTTACTTGCATGTGCAAGATCCTCAAGCCTAAATGACGCCTCTGAGCTAAATTCAAAATCGCCCGTTTCTCGCCCAAGAAATACCTCCTTCCTCTGCTAGTTGGTGAAAGGAGCGTAGCGAAATTTGCGTGGTCAGACGGAAGAGCAGGCCTCATGGTCTGAGTCTCGTCACATAAAATAAGCCATTAATTCAATTCAAACCTAACATTCTTTTGTAATTAGAGATGTATGAGAGAGATATCAGGCCACAATGAATGAAGTATAAATCGTGTATTTAACATATTATACACCAATTCACATGTTACCAAACTAGTTTCGGGAAACTTTCCCCGTGGTACAAAATAATCAACATTATTATTAGTTTTATATTAAAAGTACGAGGGGGAAAGTGCAATCTGTGCATGTTTTCTTGAGCTCCAGAAACTCTACCCTCGCTTTTTTTTACTATACTAAGTTGAATCACGGATAAAGATCGCTGGGCGTAATTTTACAAAATATTACAGGATGAAATACTCAGAATGTCCGCGATGAGACCCTAACATTTCAAACAATTATAGTGGAATGTTTAACTTTAATTTCATCATTTTTTAACATGAAAATTATAGTTCAAGTTAATAAGTATCAGACTCACATTTAATACATTTCTCTTCATTTCAATGCACCGCTATATGAGTACTTTTGGTTTCACGAACAATGTCGAGCCTGTAGTCCTTTTTGAGTTATGTTTTGCCATGCATTATTGTCAATTTCGCAGCATCTGTAATATGACTCAGTCTAAGGCACCTCTCATGCATTGTTTTAATTCCCGTACGTTCGTTAATGTATGTAGAGAATGCTTTGACTTTGACGTACACCCATAAAAATAAATCTAATGGAGTGATGTTGGCATGTGGAGACCAAGAAATTGGGACACCTCGGCTAATTCAACGGTTAGGAAAGTGACATTCCGAAAATTGCGGACAAGAATACTCCAATGTGGTCGTGCACTATTCTGTTGAAACTTTATTATCGGCTGCATGTTAGCGGTTTGTGACATAGCGTAGTTAATCAACGTATACAAGCAATACTTTGCAGTATTACAGTATGCCCTTGAACTAAGAACAGGCCAACACTTTGATTGTTAAGAAACTCTAACCTCGCTTTTTTCTTACTGCACTAAGTTGAATAATGAATAAAGATTGCTATGCGTGATTTTGTAAAATATTACAGGAAGAAATACACAGGATGTCCGACATGAGACTGCAACATTTCAAACAATCATAGTGGAAATAACTTTTGGACTGTCTTGGATGTGTTCCACAAATACATGTTGTTTTTTTGATCTCCAAATTTGCACATTTTGACGATTTACTGCTCCCGATGTGTGAAATATTGCCTCGTATGAGAACATTATGCGCGATAAGAAAGTATGGTCGCCGGTACTGAGATTGAGCATAGCGATTGCAAATGTTTATCTCTGTGGTCGGTCGTTAGGATTCATTTCCTAAACAAATTGCAACGCATCTGCATGCAAGCGCAATCGACGGTGAACAACTTTGTCAACTGTTTACTTCTTCATTCCTACTTCTCTTGTCAAAAGTCTTAACTGGAATTCTTTCGAACGATCTACGCACATGAGCTACAACCTACTAGTGGATGCTTTGATTTTCGCCAACATGCCGTTTCACAACCTTGTCTCTTGCTAAGGACTGATCACAATACTTCTATATGATTGATTGATTGTTAGTTACTCGTATTCTGGGCGCGTCAACGCCTAAGGTAATTTCCCCCGTAAGTGTGGTGCATGTTTTTCCTCAGGGGTTGGCAGTGATTTTCTGCCACGGGATGGCGAGATCTGGCACCGACTTACGTCGGGTTATTTTTGGTTTTCCCCCGCCAGGAATCTCCCATCCGCTGGTCACCACTCCAGCCCGGACAAGCTCTAAGCTCCCGACCGGTCTCCGGGCATGTGTGGTAGAATAGTGCATGGGAGTGTGAGCATGCGTGTGTAAGGGGTGAGGTTATGACAAGGAAGAGGAAGGAAAGGTCGTGCGCGGTCCGTGGACCATTTGTTAGGGTACTGCTCCGGCATTCGCTTGGTTTTGATCGAAAAAATAACACGTAAAACAGAGACAACCGATCAGAGCAGCCGGCCGCTAGAATTCGTTTCCAGACGGCGACTGAATTCCACCTAGCTGACAAGCCAGTGTCGAAATTCCTGCCACTATTGTCTGGGCTCCATCCTAGAACCTTCCGATCACTGGCACTGCAGTGATATCAATTGAATCGTTTATTTCAGAAACCCGTCAAACGCCAAAATCTACAATACACTTAGTTCCAAGAGGATATGCACTTCGTATATTGCACATTTATATGAAAAATATTCATATGTTGCACATTTATATGAAAAATATTCATTTCTCAACTTCTGAAATAAGTAAAAATATTTTGAAATCAGAAAAATTGAGAGACTATTTGTCAGTTGTCTCCTAATGAGAAATTTGGCGTTTGTCGTGTTTCTGAAATAAACGATTCAATTGATACCCGTAGCCACCTCTCCCTGCACCGCTTCTTTGTTGTCTTAAATGTCGGCGGATTATTGTTGTACACACGACGATAGTGTCGTTGCACTTCCGGAATTACGGATTTCGATTCTGCGCACCACCACACAACCTGTGTACGCTCGCTTGCGGCCGTCAGTTGTTCCTCTGCGTCTCCTGCTATAGCAAAAGCATTGTTATATAATAATTTAACTTCTTGAGATTAACTGTTGATATGAAAATTCAAACAATGACTTGAAATAAAAAAGAAATATACATTTAAGTTATTGGATTCTCACGGTGGGCATCCGGCATTACTCGCGTGTAATAGAAAGTGTTTGCCTCAGCAAATGAGATGCAGACTCTTTACCTAGAAAGACTTTAAACACTTTTGCGCTAGTAAGAATGTGCCATAGTCGGGCCGACGTTCGAATAATCCTAAGATACGATAGCGAGACGAATTACTGCAGAACGCATTATCGCCCAACCAGTATGTTTCTTGCATGAAACAACCGTGACAATTTCCATATTACTTTTGAACCTGCCCTTACGTCCTACATTCCTCTACTCTCAACTTTTATGAATAATTCATCAATGCTTGCAGTTATTAATACTGTTTCATGTAAGATGACTAATGACATGCTTATTTATGAGACTGTAATCTAGTGTCGATACATATAATAGAAAATTACCATTAAAATGTTGTTCAGAAATATTCAAATCAAGTGTGACTGATGAAAATCTTCATTAACCGTTGTTTCAGACTGGAAACGCATCCAGACGACTCAGAGTTCGAGAAATTCATGGAAGCTATATTTGGTGCAACTTACACTACATTTGATGCTTTCAATGAAACTACAAAATATTACGAAGACTATATTAAACCGGAGAACTATCAAGATGTTGTGTTTAAGGTACTATGACTTAGGAGACGATACCGCATTTAAAGAAGTATTTTGCAATAATGAAGACGGTGATCGATTCTCGATTCCAGAACAAATATCATTTCGAGTATACTATCCTCAACTCTAACGACAACATGGGTCCAGAAAAGCCTGAAGTGTGGGTCTCCTTCACTGAAATGGGCGTCTGTTACTCGTACAATACAGCAATATCTCCTTACCTCAATCCTGAGTAAGTACTTTTTTGCCACCTCAATAGTGAGTCAAAATTATAAAATGTCAGGGAATTAATTCATTATCTTGATTGTTAAGTCTTCGAATTTGGTCATTGTGTCTATAAAATGTTGATACGTAATAATAATACAAACATTGTTTATTTCATTATAGTTTTATGCGTTAGATAGCCATAAAATAAATAATTATACAAATATAAATTTTACGGAGAATTTTTACGGAATTTCTTACCAAATTTGAACTACTTGAATGAAAACACATTGATAGTTCTTCAATATTAAAATTTGCCTTTACAATTACAATTACAAGTGTCACCCTTTATTGCAGCTCCACTATTGACGCTACGAATAAAACTAATAATAACTATAACATAATTACGTAAGTTCACCATTCTTTCGACATCTTGGCCACTTTACCTTGATTCTCTCTCTTTCATAGTAACACTTCTTAAATTTAATTTTAAATTTAAATGGGAGACATTTTTCGACAAAAAAGTAATATTTTTGATCCCTGATATCTAAAACCTTCATCGATCTTGCTTCCATACATAGTAAATTACTTGCTTTAACCAGTTGTGCAGTCAGATCCCACGTCACTCGGCCCAATATCTCAGGGAAGATTCAGCGCATTCCTAATAAAAATATTTGGTGTTATCAAGCTTGGAGTAAAAATTTTGAATCGTAAATCCTCTGTTTTTTGTCTTTTCAAAAGTGTTGGAGCACATTCGCTCCAATGACTCAAATGCTGTTGCGGGATACACACTCATTCTTATACAAATTTCATTGGTATAAATGAAGAGTAATATAACACTGAGGTCACAAAAGAGGCGGAACTCATCTGATCAAGCTGATCACTGTTACTGAAAAGGAATATTTGCATGTGTCTCGCTCCAACCTTCATTCTGCGTTCAAAGTCTGTCTATTCCCGTCGTGGATCCCTATCCACGTCACAGACCTTTACACATAAATCATTTGAGTACAAATGAAAGCACTGCTAATGCACAGCCCTATTGTTCGCGGTACAATTGCCTTCTGTATATTTGCGTATTGCTTTCCCATGACTTTTGTCACCTCAGTGTACGAGTATTTCTCACAAATTCATACAATATAATGTGGTTTTAAAATTTGATTAAATAAATACAAACAAAAATATAAGATTTAATGTTATTTCAGTTCTATTGTGAAGTTAATAGAAACTAAATATTTGAAATAATTATTTAAAAAGAAGCCGTCTAGAATCGAACATCCGTATAAATAGAAAAAAAGCATTTCAAATTGCCTACATTGCAGAGCACGCATTAAAATGAAAAATGACCTTGAAGGTATACTCTTATTTAATAAAATCATTATATAATAATTAGCTGTAAGGAAACGTCTTTTTATTGAACATGTGTATAAAGAACGTTATTAAAATTGTTTAATTTTTATAAATATATTTAAATTTAAAAAATTAAATGAAAATTGTACCCTTAAAATAGATTTTTTAAATTTTTTAACCGTTATTTTTTCACCGTATTATTTCGAAAATAAAATTCTTCTTTTTCTTTAGGTATTGGTCGGGTAACATGACCCCTCCAAAGAAATTCGTACTAATTTCCGGCCAAGAACAAAGTGGAGACATGTTTTCACAGCTCATGGACATGAATTCCCCTTCCACAGTACGTATGGAAACATTTTACTCGATTCCACGATTTCTTCTTCTTCGTTGCTGCTCCTTCTAAGAGAATACAATCTCGATGAGACACTTCCATCTAACTTGATTTGCCGCTATTCCTTTGCGCTCTCCCTTAAATAAACTCAGACCACGTGACCCGCGACGTCATCTCACGTTTTATTTATTTTATTTATTTCTTTACGTCAAAAACAGTTAAAAACTGTGCGACGTGATATGGGGAGAAGTTAATTTAAAGTTACATTTAAGTCCAGAAGCAAAACTGATAGTTTTTACTCGAGCATCACGGAAACTGGACGAAAACCTGATCGAGATGGGGGACATTGACCCAGAAACTAAAGTAATATACTTGTTACAGGTTCTTTACAATTATACAATCCAAATGGTATAAAATACAATAAATGTGATTGTTAAAATTAATATTATTTTCCTTTTGCATGCTCGGTATAGTCTCCAATTGTATAGAAACAGTTGTGCAGCAGAAAAGATTTTACTTGGGACTTAAACGATTAAATTCGATTCAATAGTTTATTCCAGGAATTTCCTGGAAGTACCTCAGGAAGTTCTACCCTTTCGGCGCTTCGGCCTTTCCAGCCCCTGCCTGCTTGCAACACCCCAACGGCGTCTGCCTAAGCCCTAATCCACCACCCGGCGCAATCCTGGCACACCAAAACAGTCTTCCTGTTTTGGTGCTAGGTCCGTTTACAGTACGTTACACTATTGAACACAGCTGTTAACGCCCGAAAACACAAAATAATGAAAGGAACTCTGAACCCGTATTACACGATATGCCGTATTTACAGCACGTCGCGTGTACCGCTCCTTAACTGTTCTTACGTCAGGGTGGTAACATTTGTACAATGGCTCTTCGGTTTACTTTCTAATCCGCAACTCAAGATTCGTGGAGTGTGGAAGCCCTAGCTTCGACTGTAATGTATTTTCAACAGCACTTACTAGTACCTGGGTCCTACATATGAAAGCGCTGGCGGGGAATTGGAAGTACTCGTTTGGTTTTCATTTGGTATTTTGGTACTCACATTTCACGGTGCCTCTCGTTCTCAAATCGATGGTGAGAAGTGGGGGCGGCCAGGAGTCGGTCCGGGTCCCATGCTCACTGGGTAACTGAAAAAAGAAGAAAGAAAAACAATGAAGAAAGACGATGGAAATGGAAGATTTAGAGGAAAGAAAACAAAGAAAAAATAAGATGGAAAAACAGTTGAAGATAGAGAAGAGACGATTTGTGGGAGGAGACGATTGGCGTTTCAGGGCACGTCAACTGTCCCTTCACTATCACTTGTCCTGTTAGTGCAGTGGTTGCTCGATTCCGGGAACAGACGGCGCTTCTACTCCTCTAGACTGTGAGATGCGTCTCCGACCTACACGTAGGTTTGCGGGAAATCTCCCCGAGATATCTACCCACCACATTTCCGTTCGTTAATGCGATCATTGCACTATCATAATTAACGTGAAATGTCAGTTACCATTTCCACCCACACGCCTGACTTGTAATTTTGTAAATGTAAATATTTAATGGGTTAGATGGAAGAGCAGGACTCACAGCTTGAGTCTAGTCAGAAATAAAGACATTATTATTATTATTATTATTATTATTATTATTATTATCATTATTATTATTTCTTTATTATCGATATTATATCTAAATTTTATATTAATTATTATTATATATTTTTACTTGTTACTTTTCGAGCAGGAAATTACTAGTCCTGAACTAATGCGGTCATAACTCTACAACCTTTCATCCCGTGCTACATGTGACTCATCTTTGGGAGAATCCAGTCATCTGCTCAATTTTCAGATTTTTGCTCTGCCACCAGGATCGGAAGATAGCCACTTTAATAATGATGATACTTGAAGAAATGGGGGCGCACACAGCATACACTGCATACACTAAGCGCACGCATCGCCCGAGCGGGAACGCGAACACAGCAACGCTTCCATCCCAAAAATCGGCCCGGCATTTACTGCTCGAGGGATATCGTCATGTAATATGGACATTCCAGGCCTCTAATTCACTATCTCTATTACTATTTTAAATTCTATATTCATTTTCTTATTACTTATTATTACTTTTTAATTTCTGTTGCCCAAAATGTGCGTCTTCCATGAGAAACCCATGCGACATTACGTTCTGCACCAAATAATCATCCCGTGGCCAAGTGCTATGTGAACTCCTACTTTTGAGAATTGTAACTCTCATTTACCTCACTTCTATACCTCACTTTTATCGCATTCTGCTGAATCAGATTTTTCCTCCCAAGGATGGAAGAATAGAATACATGATGATAATGAAGAAATGGGCGACCACAGACATACAAGCATTACACAAGCGCACCCATGCCCGAGGCGGGACGCGAACACGCGAACCTTCCATCCAAAATCGCCACCGCATTACTGCTCGAGGGATACGGTTATTTGGATTGCATCAATTATATTTATTATATTATTATTATTATTATTATTTTAATTATTATTATTTACTTATTTCTATCAATCTTTTAATTTCTGCTGTTGCAATTGGCGTCTAGACCCATGCGACCTACCGTCTGCGACAACATTTTAATTCCATCGAAGGGCAAGCTCTGATATTCGTGCTCTCTTTTGGGGAGATCAGATTATAGCTGTGAATCAGACTTATTTTGTCCCCCACAGGGATTGAAGATAAGAATATGATCGATAATGAGACATATTGGGCCGACACCACAGACATTAACAGGCCATACACAAGTGCACTCCCATTGGCCCGAGGCGGATTCGAATAATATCGGCAACCTTCCAAGCGCCAATGTCCAAGGTTCCAAAGCTCCATCGCCAAAATCGCCACGGTGATTACTGCCCGGGATCTCGGTTTATTGGTTGCGCATTATAATATATTATTATTATTAATCTCACATTTCTTAACTTTTATTATTATTATTATTATTATTATTATTATTGTTATTGTTATTATTATTGTTATTATTATTAACATTATTATTGTTGTTATTGTTGTTGTTAGTGTTATTGTTGATCGCCAGGTGTTCATCACCGGCCCGGAGGAGGTGCCTGACGTGGCCACCCGCAGGATCGATCTGCCCGACCTCACGTACCTGTCGCTGGACCTGCAGCCGCTGGCCATCGTCACCTCCAAGGAGGCCTATGACCTGAGCGTGAGCCAGCGCCGCTGCCGCTTCCCGCACGAGTCCAACCTGCGACTCTCCTCCGTTTACTCGTACGGCATCTGCCGCATGGAGTGCCGCATGCGCCTGGCCTACTCGCTCTGCCAGTGCGTGCCCTACTTCTACAGAAAGACCGGTAATGTAGTAACCATAACCACAACTTTTCAAAAATCCTCATTGCCTATCCTGAATTAACATTCCTTCATAAAAAGCAGTCTGTTTTAAATCTATTTAGGATTAGCCCCGTCCACTCTAACAGTCCCCCCTCGCCGCTCCTTGATGGGCTTTCACTTCTCTCCATTCTACAAGATGGCGGCCTCTTAGCCGTTCCCGGCTCATGTCTTTCTTTTGTTTTACACACACCACACATACACTCGTATACTCTTATGTTATAAATGTTTAAGTATGATTCACGTTGCTTGGACAGTAAGTCATTTTAATTTTATTAATTATTATTTATTTCATTTTATTTCTCAATTTCATCTCGTAATGTTGCTGTATTTCTATTTGCTCCCTTACTTTATGTTAATTTCTACATTTGTCCTTCTCCTTGTTAGATAGCCACTAAAGATGGGAAAAGTGTTTCCCGAAAGTTAACTTTGATTTGTTGTTACAAATATAGCTGTGATTGTAGTGGTTGATTATTTCGTATCTCACATTATCACATTTATATTATCACCAGAATATTGCATTTTTTAGAATAACGTGTTTCTGAATGTATTCACAAAAAACGTTTGCAGAAGTAATAGAGAATACCGAAGCTTAGTGAAAGTAATTTTTTCAATTTCATTTTTTCAAAGAAATAGTTGCAAATGCTCTAAATTTTTTTGAATGAGCTTCTGACACAACCAATTTTCCTTTTTTACAAGTCGTTCATGAAACACTGTTTATTCTCTTCTTGTGTTATACATTTTATTTCATGTCTGATACGCGATTTGTCTCCAGGTAGCTACAAAGTATGCGACCCAAAAGGGATGCTCTGTTTGGCGCAACATGAAGGTACGAACTGAAAAAACTCAAAATACGTGAAGACATTAGAAATGAGTCACACTCGTAGTTTCACATTCTTCTGTTGCAGAGGAATTAGTGCGTCTTTTAGACTCAAAACGCAGGAAGATAAATTGTAAGTGTTTACAAGTCTGCGATACATCCAATTACACGCCTGAAAAAAGCAACCAAATGCAATGGTACGTATTCTTATCAGAAAACAACTAGGGCTTATCGGAAGTTTACAATGACAATCAACCACTAGAATGTTTCATAACTGATTTTTTCTACTCCAATTGTATAGTTTGATGGCTGCAGCACGTTGCATAATGATACTCATTACGATACAGATTTCGTAATGGTACAGGTTCATGATCAATCACATAGAATCAAAAAACAAGTATTGACACTTAATTAATCTTTGCGAATCGTTTTTGTAAATGCTTTGTTCGATTGTGTCTTTTTTTATTAGTCTTGCTCGTTCCTCGCTCGTATCGTAATATCACAATCGCGTATTAATAATTACATCATCGTTTCATAATGTACTATTACGGTTTCATGCGCAAATAACTGATTAAAATTACTTGGATAGTCAAAAACATTAATCGAATTGCAAGCTTTTCCATAATGAACCTTTCAATGTCATTAATTCATGAATTAATTAATTTCGCAGAAATCTGACATCGTATTTGGAAAGAGTGGCATTCTATTCAAATAACTATTACACAAACAATAAGCTGTTTGCATACATTTATCTGATTCTTATGTTTTTCGATGCGCCGAATTTGACCACCGTTTCGTCTTGAAACGTCAGTTTTTTCACAATCGAAATGTAACTTTTTCAAACAAGTAGCTGAATATCGCTAAATTTCAAATTCATTACACTTAGAAAAAATACTGAACTTGTAAAAACAAATTAATATTCACTACCAGTGCTCCCAAAACATGAAAATACACTTAATGCATTAGTCCTAATGGGGATCAATGTTTAGTTGAGTGTGCTTGCTAGGGCCTATCTGCACATCTTCATGCATGTTTTCTAATTCCTCCACAATAATTTATTTCATTTCGGTATTCGTCCAGCTAGTGTCGTAGAGGTTCAAAGTTAGTGCACTACCTCTAAGGATATGTATACATTCGTCTGACAGTTTCTGTTCATATGTGGAGAATTAATGGTGAAAAAGCAGAGATAGATTTTGCTAAGAAAATGTATTTAGTTTATTTTAAATTAGGACGTTGTGACCAATTTAAAGTTTGGGTTCCTCAAAGTATGTAAGCGTCGCTCCAAATACCCTTGTTTCCTTTGTATATGGGACAATGAAGATCGGCAAAATAACTGGAAGTCAAAAAAATTGCCTACCAAGAAGTCTAGTTGTTCGTGAAAAGAATGCCCTCGGGAAAACATTGGTACCCCCTGAGAAGGTTTTTTACCTCCTCTACGTATAAAATTAGGAATAATGAAGCCTTTTTAAAGCACTTATCAAAGATAGCGATTGTTTCAAGTACTTGAGATCCACGTTTCCTAGTTAATCAGAGGCTGAACTCAAAGAGGGAGTTTTTGTTGGGCCGGATGTTAGGAAACTCATGTTCGACAAAGACTTTAACAGTTTAATGACTCCAGCTCAAAACTAAACGTGATTTGCCTTTACTGTGGTCATCCTTTTTGGGAAACCAAGAGAATTCAAATCACTAGGAAATGGTGGAAAGAATGTTGAAAGCATTCCCAAAGCATGATTGCTCCATGAACTCAAAAGTCTGTTTTCTCAGCTCACACTTTATTTTCCTTAAAATTTGGAAGCAATGAATTAAGAGCATGGGGAGTACAGTACGTCTCAGAACAAAGGGGTTGTGGTTTTTCGATTAAGAGCACTTCAAATCGTCAGTATCAGTCAACTAAACCGAAACAGCTGACGTTTTTTCAAACCTTTGTTATCGTACGCAATATATTAGAGGGTTTATAAATCGTAAGTCGAATTATACTGGTATACACATATGCTTTTTTATTTCAGGTTTCTTGGAACCAACCTCAAATACAGTATCATTAGGTACCCTCCTATGAGGATAAAACGAGATGTTATTTTCAGTTTCACTGATGTACTTGGTAAGTTTTGTTATAGAAACAGTTTTATTACTATAACACCAAAACACTTTTTTAAATACATAACACAATTTTTAATCTTTGTTTTAAATTAATATATTTTAAAGTAACAATGTTATGTATGTGTGTAATTGGAATGATGATTGATTATTCTTGTGACAGTGAACATTGGAGGAACCGTGGGACTGTTCCTGGGAAGCAGCATTTTAAGTTTCATTGAAATTATTTACTTCTTCACCTTAAGACTCTTTTGGCACATTGTGCATTCTGTGAGAGGAAAGTGAAAATTAATGGTGAATCGTCGTATCTTCACATTTCATTTTAAAATCTACGTTATCCGGTTTGCCCAGTTTCTATATATAATAGCAAATTTTAATTAAAAATCTCAGGAACGTGAATTTAAAATACTGATAAGTCTGTCATTCATTTCTGTGCCTCCACAGGCCAATTTGTGAACTCTGTTCGAGAAACCTTATAAAGTGAAATAAGAAAATTCGTGTGTATAATTTTGTTAGATATTAACATAATTCTTTTAACGTCAAACTATAACAATAAGAACAAAATTCTATTAAGACTGGCGATTTTTATTCTGACTTTCAGATAATAATTTATGTTATAATTCCTTTTTTCTTTTCAATAATTTTGCCATATGCTTTCTAAAGATGATAATAAAGGTGATGCAGTTTTGACTAGACTGTTGCAACATTTAATCAAGATATGACTGTTATTGCATTGATCAGTTAAATTTGTTTAGTTTGTACACTTAGTTACTTTCAAAGTAAAAAAAAGTGTTTTCCCGTTTTAAGAGATATTTATGAAAATGGTGTGATGTCACCTTTTTCTGGTAAACGATGCAGGAATTGATCTGGCTACGGGGGACAAACATTGGTCTGATCGCCAGAACATCGCAACCGCCACAACCAGCATTTGCAACTGTAGTGAAGGACGTAAGAAGTTGTGTCGCCGGGTTGATCGGCATGTAATGCTGACCACATTCGTAAATGTAAGCCGTACATCGAATTCATGGATGCATTTAATTATTACTCTCTCAGTACACTGCACTGCAACTACCAGTAGTGCCTTTCATCCCAGGGACCAGGGTTCAAATACCGGTCATTTCATGTGGAATTTGTGGTGGAAAATCATGTGGTTTTCGTGTCATGTTTTTATCGTGTTTCCACATTTCCCCTGGCTAGAACTCAATTATTACTCCATCATTTATATTTTTATTATGGACCCTCCATCAAATCATTCGTCCATTTCAGACGTGGTCCAGATGTGCTTAGGCAGCACCATCATAAAGCAAAGCACTAGCACATGCATAATCAAGAAAAGGGTATTTCAGTTTAAAATTCCAGAATTACTTTATTTTAGGCTGTGACCACCTTTTTTTAGCATAGGCACAACCGCATTCCGGACTCACGAAAAGTTGACAGCTGGATGCAGTCGGTACATCTATTGTGCTTCCGTGCAATTGTGCGACTGTGCTTCTCGAAAGTCGTTTCCCTACCACACCAAAATTGCAGTGCCCGACTCCATCCCGTTGTTTTGCTACTAAGTATGAGGATTGGTTTCTACGTTTCCCGTGGTCTGCTTAGAATCGCAGTAATCGATTATAATTGATCCTCTTGTCTGTTTAAAACAAACATTTGCACGTTCTTTTGGAGCATTGTCAACGTTAAAAACCACCGCTAAAACGTTTGTGGAAACGAAGCATGAATAAACCTACCACGATCTTCGTCTTTCCTCGCTGACTTAACACGCACAAGTTCAAAGATTCTGCCCTGTTCACCTGTGTTCGAGGTTTTCTCTGGCCTGGCGTGAGAAAATCTATATGCGCTACTTGTGAAGGCAAACTTTACTACGATTTTTACTCCACCGGATGAACGAAACGAAATAGTCGGGCTATGTCTTCTCGGATAAAGAAAAGAGAAAGGGCCCTAGGTGGAAAGCGAGGATGAGGGAAAACGGACCGCGGGATGCAATCGGGCGACTTCCAAGCCTCGTACTAAGCATTTGA